CGATCTTTTTGAAAGGGCCAAAGACTTTCATTGGGTGGTGATGAGACACTTATCGGCATCATCTCGCCGCACGCCGGTATCAGTTACTCCGGCCCAACTGCAGCGCACGTGTATAAAGCCCTGCGTAATTATATTTACGGGCCCAAAGGGAACAACGTCACTCACATCTTTTTGTTGGGCCCGGACCATCATAAAGGGTTTGACGGGGTGGAAATGTCTGGTGCGCAGCAGTACGAAACTCCTTTTGGTGCGCTTTCCATCGATACGTCAGTCGTCTCGAGTGTTTTTCAATCACTCAAAGCGGCTGGTGTACGAACAACACGCATGTCACAGTCCACTGACGAGGAAGAGCACTCTATTGAGATGCAGCTGCCATTCATCTCACATATTCTTCACCACCCCCCGGCCGGATTGACAGGAGCGAAGAATCGAATTCAACTTGTTCCAATGCTTGTTGGTTGGACAGACCGTGAGACGGAAGAACGCATTGGTGCCGTCCTTTCATCCTATTGTCGGGATTCACACAATATATTTGTGCTAAGCTCCGATTTCTGCCATTGGGGATCAAGGTTCCAATACAAGTATCACTACCAAAAGTCGGAGTATCCTGCAATCGCCGATGCCATTATCGCCATGGACCATGAGGGAATGGAATGGCTGGAAAAGCGAGACATGAACGGTTGGTATGACTATCTCAGCAAGACAAATAACACCATTTGCGGTCGTCGGCCCATTTCCATAGGCATGGAAGCCGTAAAAAATGATAGATCGACAACTGTGCGCTTTTTACACTACTCACAGTCAAACCGCTGTGCGAGCCTTTCAGACTCCTCAGTGAGCTACGCCAGTGCTCTCATCACGCATCGTTGAAGGGGCTTTGTAGGAGAAAAAAAACGGGGATATATATATATATATATATATAAGTTGTGTAGTGAATGGGGAGGTGTGATATGAAGCGACATATTGGTTAACTGACACGATCTGTGAAGCTTTCTTTGTTGTTGTTGTTGTTGTTCTTGGAATGGGAATTCTGTTCTCTTTTTTAACGGTTTCTTTCTACTGTTTGAGTTGCTTCGCGGCTGCAGCTTGTTTTTTTTTCCTCCCCACTTTCTCTCTCTCTCTCTCTCTGTATATATATACATGAATAGTGTGTATGTGTCTTTGCTTATTGTCCCTATTGAGTGGAGTACTGCGAAGGGTTTTTCTTTTCTTCTTTTTTTTTTTTTTTTTTTTTTTCTTTTTTTTGCGTCAAGAATATATATATATATATATTTTACGACGAGCAAAACTCCTTATTGTTTAGTAGCAACCGAAGAATGGAGAGAAAAAAAAAAAACGACAGTAAATTTTATTGATTGCATTGACAACCGTGCATCTTTGTGATGCTTTCCGTTTATTATTGGTCAACCCCATTGTACTTGTTCCCTTTACTTGTGTGATGGGGGGGGGTTTCTGCAATGAGAGAAGTAACCCTTTTTTTTGTGTGTGTGGAGGAAGAGGGGAGAAGTTGTGGCGATTGTCTTGACGGATCGGCGTGCGAGTGACCAACATCCCTTTACATGAGGTCCTGGAGGTTTTGTTTCTCCGTGTTCATTCTGGGCGCATGGCTAGCGTGCCCGTCCGAATCCCAACGAATAAATGGGAATGGACTTTCACGCTGTGCGACAAAATACTGCTGCTGCGTGGGGTGCATGTATCATTTGAATGCGTCGCGGAGGGTTGTTTTGTATTCTCTTGCGTCCATCTTTTATTTATTTATTTATTTATTTTTTGCTGCCAGCTTCCGGGCATTGCGGAGCATTTGCCCCACTTTTGCCTAGCCACGGGGGCCGCACTTCTGTCTTTTTGTCTCTGCTGTTTTTGTTGTTGTTTTTTTGTTTGTTTTTTCCTGAAGGATGGGGAGAAGGATAAGGAAGAGTAACTTTAAGTTTAACTTATCGCTGGAAGAAACGGAAGAAAAAAGAAGGAGAATTGTGTAATTGCGGTTGCGCACACGCTGATCCGCATCGTTTTTTTTGTTTGTTTGTTTGTTTGTTTGTTTGTTTTTGTATACACACATACATTACAAGAAACAGGAAGGCCACTGTGACCAATGAAGAGCCGTCAGCGTCGTGCACCGTTGAGTGAAGGGGTCGCCTTCTCCTACGAGCTTTTTGGGAGCGTCGACATCAAAAACGAGGAATTCCTGAACTTCACCGGTGAGAAGGGCCCGAGGCACAACAGTGAGATCACGGAGTTTCTGCGCAATAAGAGCTTTGCACACGGAAGAGAACCCGTGGCGAGGCAGCCATCATATTTGCAGTTCCAGCAGGCGGTGGACGTGGGGAATGGAGCAGCGGAGGAATCGGGTGGATGGAACAACAGTTTTGTCAGCCTTGAGGACGCGGCGCAGCACGTGTGGTTCATTTCGCAGCGCTCTGGTGGAGCAATGCCGTTTGCCCGTAACTTTACGATAGCCGATCGGTTTCTGAAGTATGCGGAGGAACACTCACTTTTTCCCAGTGAACCGCAGGAGGCGGAGGCGGAGGCACCCAACGAACCCCTCACGGCGGCGAAGTGGCTGGACATCCAGACGACAAACAAGGCCCTCATCACGGAGCTTCTCACACAGTTCCCCGTGTCGGAAGAAACACTTAATAACTGTCATTATCTCGATGGCATGGATGCTCTCTCCGCACATTCCGCACTTGGCTACTTCTTCTTCAACCTCATGTGTACTCCCATCGTACCAGAGGAAGAGACAGGCCGTTCCCGGCAGACGAAAAGTGTCATTCAACGTTCTCTTGAGGCGGCCATGGAGGACAAACCACGCTCTTCCGTGCCCGCGGCGGTTCCTGTGGCTGTCATCGTCTTTCCTCGGTGGATTATAACGGTTCATGAAAAACCTTTTCATGAACTCGGTGATTTGCTCAAGTTTTTGCACATTAACTGTAGTGATCACGGCTCCAGTGCGACACCGCGGCGTCGCAGGCAAGTTATGACAGCCCCATTCATTTTTTCCAGCTTATTCCAGATTGTTGTTGGGCACCAGCTGGACACTGTCTCACTCACAACGGCACTGGATCGGATGGGAGATTATGTCTTTAAGGTGGAAGAAAACGCTAAAGAGCGAGAGGAGGTTATAAAACGCATTACAAATGTTAGACGTTCCTTTGCGGAGTGTGCTGCGGAACTCACGCGACGAGAGCACATTGTGTCCATTCTCTTGCAACCACACATGATGAACTCGTTCTTGACGCAAGAGAGAGTGGTATGCCAACAGCTTGAGAGTGCCCGGGCACATCTTCTTCGTTTGAGTAAAGACGTTGGCGATTCTCGAGACACCGTCGTCGTGACGAGTTGGTACCATAATGCAACTCGTACGTGGAAGATTATATGCCGTGGCAACAAGGCAACACGCCAGATGCTCCTTCTTATGGAAATAATGAACATCATATATCCTGTTGTGGCTTTCCAAATGCTGTATACAATGAATGTCCCTGTGCCGTTTGACAGTGGGGGTGATCCGCCGGTAACAAACTTATATGCGTTTTTTGTGGTTATGGGAATTATATTGTTGTACTTGTTACTTTGTACCAGAGCGGGTTACGCATTTTTTAAAAGAAAGCGATGGAGCACACGGCTGCTGGCCGAGTAATGTCATGAAATAAGCATACACCCAGTAAGCCTCTGCCATATATATATATATATGATGCCTCTACTTTATCATGGAGGGGTGACCGGGCAGGAATGAGGAAAAAAGAGGGAGAGGAGATAATGAAGTGAATGGAGCGTAATTTTTGTTTATTTGTTTTGTTTCTGTTGTTGTTGTTGTTGGATTAATGCAGCCCAATAAAGTGTGAGGGAAAAGGGGGCAAATAGATAACTTCCATCTACCCCCCACGCAGAAAAGGAAAAAAAAAAAAAAACCACCAGTTCGTTCGGATTTACTTTATCTTGTTATCTTGTTTTAGATGTGTGCTTTTTTTTTTTTTTTTTTTTTCTTCGTTACATGCGTTTGTGTCGTCATGAACACTTTTTCTTCTCTTTTCCCCCTTTTGTTCCCACACACACACACAAAAGCAAAAAAAAAAAGAACAGCTGAGGGAGGAGCCGCGTTGAAGGAGCCCCTGTCGCAGGCGGAGCAAGCGGGTGGGCGTGCGAGGCGGAAGAAAATGTTTTGTGTTGGTTCCACGAAACTCCGTCAGGCGGTGGCGCTCTTCACCATTAAAAGCTTCCGAGCACGGCAAAAGATACTGTTGACACCACAAAATTTGGACTCCGTCTTCACGGAGAAGTTGGACCCGCAGGACCGTCTGCTGCGACAGTCGAGTGTCGGCCCAGGCGCTAGTCGCATTTTGGTGCTTGATAAGAACCAACGGGTGCGCGGGGTGTACCATCCCCTGCTGTGCTTGCCGTACCCGCTGAATGGCGATGGCGTCTTGGGAATCCCTGTTGAGTCGTATCTGCAGCGCATTCAGCAAAAAAAGCAGTCAAATGGTGACTCGACGGAGGGATGTGCATTTATTGTGGTCGCTCATGCAAATGGTCTTGGCATTGCGGTTTATGCGGCAGATGGGAATGCTTGTTTCCCATTAGTGAACGTAAAGCTTCCGGCGCAGCGGTGTACGGGTCGAGGCATGATGAATGAGCGCGACATGGTTCCTTTTATAGGAACGACAAGTCTTGTGGAAGATTTTGCAGAGATTATGGCAGAGAACTACAGAGAATACATACACTTTTGCAGTACCTTCTTTTTCTTGGCCAACCCCAATACTTCCATCTCGTTCCATGCTATGAGGTCAGCATGGAAATTGCGGGGCTACACTGACACGTCACCGTTGAGTTTTACCGACAATCGGTGGGTGCCGCTGCCAGACATCGTTGCACAACGGGATCCTAGCTTGCCGCTCTACTGCCGTGATGATGGGGGTGACAAGGTGGTGAGTATAAAGGGACTCGCCGCGGGGGTAAAGGTGGGAATGTTAGAACTCGATACATGAAAGGGAAATATAACAAATAACAGAGAAATTGGACCGTTAGAAGAACTAGCCGCGTGCCTTTCCACATACATTTATTTATTCGTTCACATTCCCCCTTTGTTTCGTAAACCCGCATTGTGTGTCTTGCCCTGTGTTAACTTTACTGCCCCGTTTGTTGTTGTCATCGCCGTTTTAAGAGTGGAACGCGTGAGACGAGGCAAACTGAAATATTAGAAGAAAAAAGAAGGAAAAAAAAAACAACGGTGCGAAAGAAGACACGCGAGGGTGTGGATTTGAAAACACGGTCTTTATAGAGTGAAGGAGGCAATACCGACGCCGTCTCACCATTATTGGCCAAAATTCCTTTTTTGTTTTGTGTGTGTGTGTGTGTGTTTGTTATGTGGTGGAAGGGTGAGTGTGCATGAAGTTCCCTCCTTCTTCTTTCTCCCTCCATTTAACACAATTATTAACACACACATGAAATAATTAATTGTGTATGCATCATTCAGTTTAGTCTTTGTTTTGTGGGAGAAATAGAACGGAAAGAGGGAGAGAGACGTGTTTGTATGTTATGCAGCCGCCTGGGAAAGTGGAGGGTTAAAAGGAAAACATAGAGTGGGGACGAGAAAAAAGGAAACAAGGCACGTGCGGTGTATAGAAGTCACAAAACGGGAGAAAAGAGGGTGAGTTGGGGAACAAATTGTGCGCCGTTTTTGCCAGTAAACACACATCGTTGATGATGTTTTTTTGTGGTACTGCGGCTGACTTTACACATGACGGATTCCTGTTTTTTGTTTGTTTTTTGTTTTTTTGTTTTTGTTTTTTTGCCTTTCCGCGTCAAAGCGTCTGTCTCGCAGAAGGAAAACCCAAAAAAAAGAAAGGAAAAAAAAGGGGAAGTGGCGCAAGACAATGCGTCGCGGGTGTCAGCCGTCATTTCTCCTCTCGTCTCCTGTATGCCCCCTCGTCGTATCGACCCGTGGCATCATCGCCTGCAAGGGCATCGTAGAGAACCGCATCACGAAGCACTACTCGAACCGTACTGTTGAGCAGGCCAAAGCAGAGCGGGAGGCACAGATAGCTAAATCCAAGCATCCCAACCCGCGTAACCGCAAAGAGGAGCTGAGTCACCTCACACACCACTGCAGCTATGAGTATATCCCAGAGTTTCAGCGATGGGCAAACGACATGATGGCTGTTTACAATGATCCTCAGGGGTACGGTCATGACATGGCGTACCATTACCACCGCATCTGGAAGGCGAAGAGCCCCACAAAACGTGGTATTGAAGACGGTAGCGGGGCCTTTGAGGTGTGTAAAATCCATCCCAAGTAGAACATATGATTCTAGCGGTTGGAATACACACACACTCACACTCTCTCTTTCTCTTTTTATTTCTTTGTACATGTGGCAATACAGTAGTGGGGACAAATAGGGAATGGGGTTGAGGGGTCACGTTTGACTGCTCTCATGACTTACACGAACACGGAGAGAAAGAGATGTTAACACACGCACGCACATATGGGAAGAGAAAAAAGAAAGAAGGAAGCGCGGAAATAATGTTTTTTTTTTTTTTTTTGCTTGTATTTGTGCCCCAAATAATAATAATAATAAACAAAAAAAAAAAAAGCAATGTATTTTAGAATTATTTTTTTTTTTTTTCCATTTTTGATTCCCATTATTGCGTGTGTATTGCCTTTCTTTTTGTGCGGTGGTCATTTTCCTCTGAGGAGTTTATTTCTGCATGTATTTTTTGTGTGAATTGGGTTCACAATAATGAGCCATTATTGGTCATGATATGAAGCGTTATAACTTTTGTTTCTTTTTCTTTTTTCTGTCTATTTGCATGAATGTCTCCTTGTATTGTGTATTGTTTCCCTAACCAAGTAAGTACTACAGGGAGGGAGGGGGGACAAAAAGAGATGATTCAAAAGGAAAATAAGATGAGGAATTTGGGTGGCGGCCGAGGCAAAAATTGTTACGACGATGATTTGCCGCATCTGCCATGGTATGGCATCCTCCTTATCTTTCTATACCGTCTGCTTCTTAGTGTAAGCATCCAGACCGCAGAGTCGCCGGACGAATGGTGGCAGAGCACGGAGATAGCATACTATATCGTGTTTGGCAAGGGGCATCTTCCGTGGGAATGGCATATGGGTTTGCGCTCTGTGGTATTTCCATTTATTCTCGCCATTCCTTTCTTTCTTCTGAAGGCTTTGGGCCTTGACTCAACTTGGGCAATATGGTTTGCCGCTCGATTGATGCAAGCGTTGGTCATTACAACCATAGATCTTTTTGTTTTTCGTTTGGGTAGATTGCTGGACGTGGAGTTGGGAAGGACGGCAAAAAATGCGTTGCGAGGAGCACGCATGCCAAAACTGTTTTTGGATACCCCAACGAAGGATCCTGCTGGAAAGGTAGTATCGGGCAGATCTGTTGCATACTTTGCCTTGTTTCTTTCTTTAAGTAACTGGTATATGTCGTTTACTGGCGTTCGTACGTACAGTAACGTGGTAGAGGCAATGTTGGTGCTTATGACGATACAAGAAACAAACTATATACGATTTCTTTTATTTAGCGGATTGGCATGTGCTTTTCGTGTTACCTCTGGCGTTGTTCTTTTTCCTCTTGTATTTCTTCATCTTGCCTGGGCCGTGCGGGAACGCGGAGTACGTCGAGGTTTGATGCGGATCCTTCTTTGGGGAATTGTTATTTTTGTACTGTTGGTTGGCGGAATTGTGGTTTCAGACAGTTTATTTTATGATCGCTGGGTCGTCACACCATTGGCTTTTCTTAAATTCAACGTGTTGCAGAATGCCAGTCGTTTTTTTGGGGAGCATCCATGGTATTTTTATTTGTTTCCATGTCTCCCCGCTCTCCTTGGCCCTCACGTCCTCTTCACTCTCGCCGCGCCGCTCGTGGTGTGGCAAGAGAAGGTAAGTAAGGCGGTGGCTTTACAAATCTTTGGATTGTTCTTTTTTATTTTATGGCCCGTTGCGTGTTACTCCCTTATTGGCCACAAGGAGAACCGCTTTATGACTACTGTGTTGCCAATTTGTTTTGTGGTGACAGCCTTCGTTTTGGCACGGCGATACGATCGGTCACGTGTCATACGTCGCCTTCATAAAGCCTTTTTTGTTTTTAACGTAACGGTGTTGATTCTGGCGGGTTACGTGCATCGCAGGGGCCCGTTGGATGTGATGTTGGAGGTTCGAAATGGGCCAAAGATGGATCGACTTGATATTGTTACACGATGTTATGCGACGCCTGGTTACAGTTTTTTACATGGAAAAGTGAACCACCTGGGCCTTATCGATTGCCCCGTTTACCTCAACACCGAAACGGGGCTTCCAAAACCCACGGAAGATATGATGTTCCGAAAATATCCAAAAGATTACGTGTTATGGAAATACGATGGGATACATACGTTTAACATCAGTAATCCGGATGGAAAACGCAGCGCTGATGAATTGAGGCAAATTGTTTCACCCATGTCTTCTCCTCATCCAGACGTGATGGTGATGTATCGTGACACCGCAAACAAAATAAAGCACCTCTTTTTGGAAAAGCACGGGTACAAATTATATCGGTCGTTTTTCCATACACCGTTGCTGATAGAACCGGGTGAAGACAATTACATGGAAATGTGGGTACGAAATGTTGTTCAGGCCAATTAAGTGGAACATTCCTGCGAACATACATATGTATATCTTATATGTATATATTACTTATGGTTATTGTAATCTGTGATGGTTTAAAAGGGGAATTACGGTGACGCGTGTGAAACATTGATGATTTTTGATAGGGGAAGAAGAATTAAAAACGAAGCACAGTTTTAATTAAACAGGGTACTTTTTTTTTTTTATTTTGATTCCCATTATTGCGTCTGTATTGCCTTTCTTTTTGTGCGGTGGTCATTTTCCTCTGAGGAGTTTATTTCTGCATGTATTTTTTGTGTGAATTGGGTTCACAATAATGAGCCATTATTGGTCATGATATGAAGCGTTATAAATTTTGTTTTTTCTTTTTTCTTCTTTTTCTTTTTGTGTGTGTGTGTCTTCTTTTTGCCTTTGCACGGGGGAAGGCGTGTACGCGTGACGGGGGGCACGTATGTTGGGGGAAGAGGAGGAGCGGAAGGCGGCTGTTGCCTTTTATCTGCAAGAACAGGATGACGCCGTACTGTGCGCCTTTGGGCGCGACTACTTTGACGGGGCCCGCAAGGGTGCAGCTTGTGGCGGTGTATTTACGGCGTGGCTTTTCCGTCGGACTTATGTCGACCTGCGGGAAGACTTTAAGGAGCACGAGGCGAATCTTTCACGGCATTTGAGACGTGGAAAGTGGACGATTTCACGTGGCTTTCGAACTCGACCGTTTTTAACGCTTGGTTGCATTTCACTGGCGCTAACAACATTGATGAAGTCTGTCAAGTTTACGCTTGCCAACTACCGCTACCAAGAATTTGTTGCGGATGACATTGGATTCACACTGCTGGAGCAAATGTGCGCCAACTTGCCGGAGGGAAATGAGAGATTTGAGAAGCTTTTGGATGAGGCCTTGACGAATTCTACTGCGGTATCTGCATCGCCCTCTGACGGTGTTGCGAATAGTCGCATGCCCAAGAAAAAAACTGTTACGAGTGCACTTATGCAAGAATCGTCGTCTTTGCGTGAGCGAAAACCTCCGTCATTTTGGGATGGGGTGGCGGTGGGCCTCATGGGCTCCGTCATGGACTGTTATTTGCCGTCAAGGCCGGTCCACACTTACTACGGCATGCAGTGTGGAATGAGGATGTGACATCAGTGGGGAATGGCGATGACTCCCTTCAGGATCCTGCAGTGGATGAATGCATGAATGAATGGGGCAGCTTTTTTCAATTTCTTTTCTTCATTTTCCTACGAGAGCGAAGCTAACAGATTTGTGCCGTCCGTGTGCCCTTTCGCACCACCATTTTTATCCCTCCCTGTCCTTTTTTCTTTTTTTCTTTTTTTTTTCTTTTGTTTGTTTGAATATTCCCTATTCATTAGCGTGGATGGGGGAGAGTGGCAAGTTGCTGCTGCAATGGTCGTTTTTATTATGGGTGCACCAAGGGCCAAAAATGGAGCCCCAACAAGCCGTTCGATTTTGTCGATGATGCAAAGTGTTTCGTATCCCCAGGTAATTCCTGTTGCTGCTGAGACTCAGCAAAATCTGGGAACGCCACTTTCTTTGGATAAACCCAACGTTGTTGAGAAACGTGCCAGCCTGAGCAGCGGAATTATACCCCTGCGTCGTTACAGTCATACGGATGCCATCGATGAGGATTTTGGGAGTGAACGCATCTCTGAAATTTGCAGGCAAAAGGAACTTATTTTTCAGGCGTTTTTGCGTGAAAGGGATGAAATGGCAGGCACAATGCTCCACGGACAAGTAGGGTACAGTATTCTGTCTGAAAGGGACTCCCCACTCTCTGTATCTCGTCGGACATCACCATGGAAACGTTCCCGTACTCCTTTTTCTTCTCATGGTCGGGCGATAATTTACATCCATGAGTCGTCGCTGTCGGTGCCACCCGTTCCTTGCCGAGGCGATCTTTTTTATGCCTCTCTCAAACGCCGTTCAGTCTGCATCAGTAATTCCTCTGGATATGTTTCTCCTGTGGCATCGCCAATGAAGATGCTTCCATTGGATGTGAAGATGTTTGCGTTGATCGTGCTGGAGGAGATGATGACACGCCACGACCTGACGCTTCGCGAGGAACGTTTACGGAAGCGAATTGAGGGTAAAGAGGTGACTGCTTTTTTGCGTGTGCAGTTTGTTTTCCGAACCAGCGCGCATTTTCATCAGACGCGGCTTTTCTCTTTGAAAGATATACGGCGCAAGGAGCTGCAGTACCTTCGGGATGGCATTCAGCGGCGCGCCAAGCAACAAGAGGAGGAGCATCGCGTATTTATGTGCCGTCTGCAACCGGAGCGATTGCCGCCAATTAAAATCCCAACCCTCACAACTGCTGGGCAGCCTTACGGGTGCACTCGCGTGGACCTTGAAGTTGCAAAGGCATTGGCAATGGAAGAAAAGACGTGGGAAGCTGCAGGTGGGCGGAAAAGTTTTTTTTTCCCTCAGATTCTGTAATGTAAAGTTGGAGATGATGTGTGGAGGGCGAACAGGGAAAAGGGCGCATGTGTTTTCTTTTCTCCTACCCGTTTTGGAAGCAGATTTGCATCACCCCACCTAAAGGAATAACCTTTTTTTTTTTTTTTTATTTATTTTTGAAAAGTTTTTTTTGGGGGGGTTTTGTTCTGGCAAATAAATTGAATTGTTTGTTTCTGTTTCGTTCTGTTTTTTTTTTTTTTTTTGTCTTTCCTGCTTTCTTTTGTTTCTGTGAGGTCCAACACATGTATGTACGGTCTGCCGTAATGAAGGCAGATTTAATGTGTCACATGTATTAGACAAGTAGGAAAGAAAAAGGAATGCCTCTTTTGTTTTTTCTTTCTTTTTTCCTTTTTTTTTTTTTTTTTTTTTTTGTTTGGGGGGGTTTGGGGGTTTATTACCGCGGGGATAAAGTT